ATTTCCCCCCCCCCCCCCCCCCCCCCCCCCGAGTATAAGACATGATGATGAGTTTCCTTTGAAAATTACTATACTTCATGTTTAATTCTTCATGGTTTCTGTGATCGAGGTTCATAACCCCTTTTCCTGATTGTGAAATTTTCCTTGGGGTTAGAAGAAAATACCTTTACCGACATGGGCGGATTATCCTGGGAGACAGGAGAGAAAAAATTCAGCAAGATAAATGTCACGAGAACCATTGACAGAAGAATGTTTAAGAAAACCCATGTAGTACTCCTGTACCATTTTTTTTTTTTTTACTTAAAAAAGTTCATCAGTTGTCAGTAAACGCTTCGAAGTTCATGCGAAAAAAAAAGACAAAAGACAGCGTACAAATGTAAATGCAAGGGTTGATTTCTAGTGGTTGAGATCTGCAATCACCGAAACTGCAAATGAGACTTCCGTCGTTCTTTTTACTGTGGCTGCTTTTTGACTGATTAAATTGGAGAACCAAAAAAAACGATGATTGCTGAGAGACGAGTACTTGTCTCGGATCCCTACCAAAGCAATTAATCAACCTATCATGAGCGAACTCGTTTTTTTTGTGGTTTCGAATTGTTCACTATTAAAATTTTATTTGCATTGATTAGGCCTCATTTTTGGAATAGGACTAGAATGAAAATGGTACGCGAATTGAATTCAATTTGGCCTTTTAAAATTTAGAAGCAGAATATAAAAACATTCTGAGAAGGTTGTATCATGAATCGGAAGTAATCATTCACCAACAAGTTTAATGAGTGGTGACACTCGTGATTTTGATACCTTTTTAAAGCCAATATTCATGGAAGACTGATTTTTTTAAAAATGAGTAAGGCACAATCTTTCTTTTTTTTATTCATTCGAGAAATCAAGACCTAAAAAAAAGATGCGATTTACGGAAATGACGTGTATTTACTCAAGGTATACGCCTTCGCCAAAATGTCCCCGAGACGCATATGTCGGCATCGGCGAGTTTTCTTCACGTTATTTCCTCTTAATTGCTTCCGCAATTCGATTCAAAGGAATACAAGAGACGGTTTTGTGGTTCTTTGGCCGTTGGAGTGCCAAAGCCCAGCGTTCGCTTCCGCCAACTAATTCGCCAACACGGCCTTGTTCGCACCTGCGCGCCGAGCTTCCTGCCAGACGCGTCGTGCTGTTTGTTTTCCGAAGGACACAATGAGGCCATTTGTCGCTTCCCGAACCCCCGGGTTTTCGGGTGGGTGGGCGACAATCAAGGGTACTGTTGCCCGCGTGCGCAATTCGCGCCGTATGGCGAATTTCCGGGCAAGCGAAGGTTATGCAACCGTCACCTAGGTTCGTGGGACCAGCGAGGCTCCATTTTACCCGAAGGTTTCCGATTGATCGCGATATGTGTCGAGTGGAGTAGGGAGAGATAATATTTTTTTTTGAAAGATTTCGACATCCGTAGGTTGACCAGGCTTCATCTCGAGACCGGTTGTCACTTGGGCGACGAGACCGATTTGACATGGCGAGTAACGAAAAGAAAGGCTGTTAATTGTATCTAATCGGGTTCCGTCGATTCCATTGGCTTATTCTTGATACGGGCATTTCATCTCCTTTTTAAGCATTCGCCAGCAACCAGAACTGGTGACGACAAAAATAAATCGCTCGTCAGTCCATTCGTATGAATTTGGAGCGTTTATATCAGGCAGCCTTGACTGTCCAACCAAATCAGCGCTCATGATTCAATAATAAATCGCAAAAATAAGTTTCCGAAAAAGATCTCTGACGGCTTCTGTATCGGGGACGATTTGATAAAAAGAAGCTCCGAGTTGGAGCTAATTCCATTGTTTTTCCAAGATGACCAATTTTATTGGTCTAGAAATCACGTCTTTACTGCTGGAATCAACCAATTGGACACCTGGAAACTCTTTCACTGAAATTTAATTTTCGGTTTCAGTATTTGCAGAGGTCCAACCGGTCAGGAAATGTAGCGATTTTGAAAACCGTCTACTTTTCGCCTCGGATTATTTTCGTGTACAGTACAAGAAGTTACTGTGCGACAATAAATTTACGATATGATGATAGTTTTTCGGTGGTACTGTATCGCATACAAATTCGGTGGTTTGCATCCGCACAGTCCTACGTTGTGATATTCTTCAGTTGGACCAAATAATCAAAAAACATGTACAGCTATATTCAAGCAAATTGTGGAATTATCAGTGTTATTTCTGGTACTAACTTGAAACTCAACCTAAACCTCGTCCACTACTGCTCATACAATTTTTCACCCACAGTACGTTTTACACAGAATAAAGTAACAAATGCAAAACCTTTCTTGGTTCGTTTACTCGAACCTTTTTCTCCGTGGGACAATTTTCATGGACCTCCGATACTATCGTTGAATTTAGTTACACTTGAAAACAATGTAGGGCTTTCTCTGTCAGATTTTTTTTCTTTTTTAATGACAGAAGATGGCCAATGTTTTTTTTTTGCATTTTAGAATTCCTCGTGGAAATCGATGTTGATTGTTGTGGGAAGGTTCGCAACGGATCTCGGAAACGTTTTATTGCGCACGGCATGACGGGCTTTTGACGGTTGCCTTCGGGATCGCGGCGTAAAATTTTCGGTGTAAAACCCCAACAGTTTTCGTGTAAATAAAGTTTTGGGTCTTGAGTGGCAGGGGCGGCTGGAGTTGACATTAATATTCGTGGACCTCCCGCCGATGCGGCAATGAAAATGCAAATGCGAGCCAGGAGGCATTTTTGATTTATGCGTCGGGAACCCGGCGTGACTCGGTCGAGTTGACCTTCGAGCGATTCCCCGGGATCCTCCGTCGATTCGTTTCCTTTCCCTCCCACATAATCCCGGGATGCAAATCGCGACGTCGGGATCCGGGCGATTTTTCTCCCGGTGGATCGCTATCGCCGTCGCGGATGGTTTCCTTTGAAAAATCACGCCTCTCGGGCGCGTGCGGATCCAGATCCTTGATTTCCATACGCATGCGGCGAGTCTATTTTTCCCCTTACCCAGGACTGAATATCCTGACACCATATTTTACGAAATACGGAAAAACAGTTGCTCAGGAAAGATTAATCTGTCTTTGTATGCCATTTTACTTTTCCGGCAGAGCCCGCTTCTGCCATGTAACCTTACAGCAAAAATAATAATTGGGGATGCAACTTTGAAGATTCGCGGGCTGTCTCAGGTGGAAGCAGCCTCTGATGTTCTTACAACAGTAGTTTAGGTGATTGAAAAAGAAAAAATGTGAAATAGCCCATGATGTTCTAAGGTTCTGGGATTTTTTTCAGATTTTCAAAACCACTTTTCAATTATCTGCATGGTGATGAGTAAAAACTTTCCAGTTACATCCCGAATTTTCCACCGATATCACAGGGGGCTAAAAATGTGTCAGACTGTCTAAAAAATCGAATCTCTTGATCTTTTGAACATTATCTAAAATTTGAAAAGATAATTGATGAAACCACGAAAATTTTCAATTTTTTAGCTGGCCTTACACATTTTTAGCAACCTGTGATATGGGTGGAAAACTCTGGCTGTAACTTACAAGTTTTCACTTATCGTCATTCATTAAATTCGAAAAACGTTTTCAAAAACCGAAAAACCCCCAAAATCTTACGACATCATGGGCTATATCACGATTTTCTTTTTTACAATCACTCATGTTCTAAAAATATTAGAGGTCGCACTAAACTGGGACAACCCTCCCATGTTTGGTATGCAGGACCCCAATTTGATTTGGCATCTGCGCAGTGTATACGTGAATTCTCTCTTAATTGCACATAAACATTTCATGTAGGGTCATTAAATTATTTTTATTTGTCCAATAAAAGTAGTTCATGGATGGAGCTACAATTTACAGAAATGATTTCCTTGATCGCTTTTCCGAAGAACCGGGATTCTCGAAGATAAAAATAAACTTGAATAAATCTCCCCGTAGCAATCTTCTCCATACAAATAAATATTGTGTGTTGTCTCAATGTTCCAGGATCCATAGGTAGCAATCGATTTCTTTTTTCAGCGATTTTATTCCTCATTCACTGGGAGTCCATTGTATTTGAAAAAAAAAAAGCGAGACCTGTCTGTCTGTACTGATAAAGTTCGCTGTCCCTCAAACACTTAGGATACTTGGCGCAGAGGCGTGAAAAACTTCTCACTCCAGGATTTCTGAAGGCCGTTTCATGTCCACGGTCGGAAAGGAAAAAAATGAACGGGTTTTATCGCTCAATCCACCTCTTTCTATCTCCATCCAGGTACTCTCACAAGTTGCCTGGCATACGAAATGATTACGTTCTTTTCGTGTGTGATCACGTTTATAAATCATTCGCGACGACGAAACTTACATGTAATTCATGGCTGAGCTTGAACGTTAAAACCCCGGATCAGTCGCTCAATCGACGCTGTAGAGTCCCGTAATCGAAAAATTCAGCTTTGAAGGTGTGCAAAGCATTGGCCTTTTGAAAGCCGAGACTATTAAGCGTGTGTGCCAAACTTGGCGCGTCCCACATCAGCGCATGTAAGAGAAAATCTGCGAGAGAAAAACGGCGCGGGGTCAAGTGACCACCTAGCCCACCAAACTGAGAATAAACGCAATAAGTAAATAATTGCACTGTACTCGAGTGACGAAAAAGTTGGTACATTGTGCTATTGGTCGTTGGTGTTGGAAAAAATTGTGAACGTGAGAATACGTGTTTTGTCCAAACCAACCTTGATGCAGATTGACTCTTACTGCAACGATTTTCTGCATACGCGGGGACTTTCCCTACAAAAAAAATTCCATGGACCAAAAAAATCTTTGTGGAGAGAATTCTGTTCTAGATGTTGTAGGTTTCCCCTAGAGAGAAATTCTCTCTACGACGAAATTCAAGGGATTAGAGAAAATTCGTTGTAGGGAGAATTTCGTTCTGGAAAAAACCTTCAACATGAAGAGCGAACCCTATGGAACCACACAAAAAAACTTTATGCAGAGAAAATCGTTGTTCAGAGAGCCCATCTGTATTACGACTTTCTTGTCCCATTGAGGCCACTGTCCATCCCATGCATACGGGTTCATAAAAAAATTCTTTACCATAATCGGACATATAAAGTGAGCCCGTTTTATTTAAATTGTAAAAACAATTCGAAATTGCAATGAATTGCTACTACTGCAGTTTAGAACCATTGAGAAAGGGTTTTGAAGCTTGGCGAGTGCAATAATGCAATTTATAATTCGAAAAGGAAGCCTTTTTTTTTTTTAGGATACCCATCTCACAAATCGTCAGGGACGCTCATTTGTGTGATGACGAGTTTTCGTGGCGCTGAGTTCATTAGATGACCCAAATAAGAGAACTGGCTTCATTGTCTGACAGAGAGAAATTATCATGTACCAGTTCAGTTTTTTTTTATAGCGTCAAGAAATATTTTTTTTGAATGAGTCCACGCTTGTGTCGGATGCGCTGTATTGTCCAGTGCCAGGAAAATGCCTGGTTGGTTCCTGGTTGTTCCAGGTCCCACGCTTTGCTTGTTCAAGTGTGACTCCTGTTAATAGAGTACAAACGCCGCGATGAACTTTTTCGTCGCCCCCGTTTTTCGCAGCCGTGGTTCAGATGGTATCCTTATCGTGTGCAAGCGGAAACAATGCCCGAGGCAGTCATTATTCAAATGAGACATGTCAGTTACAGAAGGCTGTTGGGGCGGAAACGGATCGTCGGCGTTCGGGAGAGCCGACTTGTTCCACTGATACCGAATTCGGAATCAATCGTTGTAAACGGTTTCGACGTTGGGAATAGGCTCGTGTTTTGGGCCCTACCCATGTGACGTTAGTTGATGGCAGAGACTGACTTCTGGACTGGGGAGCCCATTTTTCGTCGGAATTAATGAGGTGGACTGCTAGAGAAAAAAAAAAAAATCCTCGATGGGCTTGATATAGTCTCGAGGATATTTATTGATTCCAATCAACATTTATCGACGTTCGACCGAAAACGAACGAGGCAGATAATCTTGTCCAGATTCGTTGCTCAACTTGACAACGGACTTTTTTCTCGCTCGGACTTTGACATTCGTCCTCGTCAGAAAGTCCGGTATGGCGACAGAACTTGAGCTCCGTACGCATTTATTCTGTAAAACGCCGAGCGAATGGTTGATTATTCGCATTTATTGCTTTTCTCGGTTTGCTTGAATCGAGGTAATCAATGTGCATACTTATACCCTGCAGCAAAAATCTTTAGAAATGATATTTCTTCCTTTTTGCGTCAACGCACATATAAGAAACAAGGTAAAAAATTAAGGAAAGTTCGGTGAAGTAATGCATGCACATAATCAGCTCGGTTAGTTGTTATGAAGGAATTGGTTAAGTTAGTGAGCATACAACTGCCTGCAGTTATCTTACACATGAATAAACGTGTTCAATCGCAAATAGGCAGAATTTCCCCTTGAGAAAACGGCGTGAAGATGCGCTTGGATATGCTTTACGAAAAAATACATTTGCAGATGCTGCAATGACAAATAATTGAGACAATGTCTCAGATTACTGCTGAGATACCCTATATGGTATGTGGAATAAATAAATAGTTGAAAGAATGATCATACTGTACATCAAACATTATTCTGTAAGAGACGTGCGAGCTGCTAAGTGAAAGAAAGATATGCATCCTGGCTGACGGAATTCGGCTAAAGTTCAAGATAATATGTTATTCTTGTTATGATTAATTCAAAAGGCTCTCTTTTTCTCCAAATGTACCCAATTTTGTCTTTCTACGACGGTTCATTTCCTGGAATGGATGCCAAAATTTAGGGAGTAAAATTTACTTATGCTGCCTCCCTCCAGATGTAACAATAATGTTAATTTGGTAGAACCTGGATAACTCAAACCACCCTATATGTCAATTTTTTCAAAGTCCCTGTTTGAGTCCCTCAGAAGCAAAGCACTGAAAACCTTGATAACTTGAAGGCTTTTCCCCTTAAACTTCCATCACTCAAATTTTCTGGATGCATTTGGATATTCTTTTATTAAGACAGGGACGAGAAAAGCAATAAAATTGTAACTTTATGTGTTTTGAAAGAATAATTGGGCAAATAAACCCTTGCGTCCAACTTCAGCCTCCGGTCGATTCATTGAAAAATCAACTGAAGGCTCATGATATCACCAATTACACTTTCGTGTGATCCTTCTTTCGTTTCCAACAAAAATGCTCATTTCCGTAATTAGAAACCTCCCTAAATCGAATTTTTTTGATGGTCCCTTGAACTTTGACTAGGAGAGGTTTGACTGTATGTTCAAGCCAGGCATTACAATAGTTTATTTGGGATTCTGGTCAGATGTATTTGGTTTCGTGCAGGGATAGGTTATTTCTTCTTGGAGGGATTCTTTCGAGTGTCGCAGCAATCGTTGCAGGAAAGATTAGACTGCATCAGAAAGAATTCCCACTATCACAAAGTACATCACCACCTGTATTCTACGCATGATTACAGCAGATTTCCTGAACGAAAACATGTACAATTTCGCTTCAACTTCGGCGGAATTCGAGGTTATGAGCGAGAGTACCGCGGAACAAGTGCTTGAAGTTTCATTTGCCGGACCATGAAACGAAATGAACCTCCAAGTTTCCGAGGCATTCAGACTGCAATTAGCGTTTCATCGTCGACCCCATGGGGCATCTTGAAGCCAGAAAAATTGGTCTCAACCGCCTTACTCCTTCAGCATTAATGCAGCCAGCGACGGAGATTAAATTCCTTGGCCGAGGTCCGGATGACCCGAGGGAAGAAAAGAAATGCGGGACACACAAGCAGCTCATTAATAACCTATGGAATTCGGGCGAGCGACATGGCGCGTCACGGATTCGGTTTCGGTCGAATGCTGAAGGTAAAACAAACTCGACAATTCTGACTCCCTTACGAGGTGTAGTTGTCACTACTGAAGGATGATCGTGCAACAAAAATGAAGTGGGCGGATCGATCGTTTCCATTACGCGTCCAACGGCGCGTAGTTTCGTGAGTTGTCACACTTTTTGTGTGTGTTTAATTGTTTTGCAATTCGGGAAGTTCCAAATTCCAATTAAGATGCCATTTCCGAAAAACTCGTATTGAGTAATTTAGTGCAATGTTTCCAAACCCGTGGTCCGCGGACCGGTGTAAAACATGCAAAGGAGACTGATCACCTATCTTTGCAATGTCAAAAATTCAAAATCAGAAATTAAAAAAAGCTGGGACCCTCTCAGTAGAATTTTGCTGACACTCCACACACATCAAAATATAATTTAAAAGTTCTCCTCATCAAGAATTTCTTTGTTTTATCAAAACCCACTTTTAAAAAAAGGGGGTCTTGATAAAACAGGGGGGATTTGTTGGGGACTGAGTCAGGCTTTGATAAATAGTTATAATACTGTAATAAGCTCCCAGGCTGATGTTGTTTCATTTATCATTCTCATATTTTCTTAGTTGAGACTTCTTAGTCTCTAACAACCGGTGCCAGTCCGCAGAAGGTTTAATTCAGGAAATTTCCTGCTGCAGAATGACTTTATCAAAAGTAGCAATGAAGTCTTTTATCTCTATCCAAAATTTTGCAGAGAAAATCGCAGAGTTGAAATTATCTGATGAAAAAAAGATTGTAACACTTCAGACACATATTTTCGCATCATCAGCTCCGTCATCATTTGAGACTAAGGTCACTTACAGCACTTTCATGATCGACTTCTTTCAAAATACAGTTCACAGAGTATTTTTAAATCTGCTGAAGTCTTGGATCTATCGTAGGAAACGTATTTTCAAGTTCCCATTGTCCTCTAGGCTTTTAAGACATTCCTGGGATTTCGGAAATGGGCGGTCATTTCATAACGGACTCGTTTGCATGCCTGCTTTTTCTGTTCGGCCAATATTGATTCCTTCTCGTGGTGGTTTCCGGCGCTGTGGATATTCCGGAAATCGTGTTCCGCCCGCGCCGGTTGAGAGACGGATTCCCACGGGTTCGTTGAGCGCGGGTTTTCCGCGTTTCGTCGGGTTTCCGTTGGGTCGTCTTTTTGACACCGCGTCACGCGAGACTTGTATTGTGGGTCGACCGAGTCACGATCTGGCGCCGGAACAGCTGAGCACTTCCCAAAGCGGCGCCTTTTTTTTTCCTCTTCAAAAAATGGAAGGCGAAATTTAAAATTTATGCGAACACAGAACAAGCCACGGAAACATGAACAGTTCATAATTAGTGGTATAGAACGCAATAAAAATAGTCCTTGTCCATCTTTTTTGTTGGGGACAAATTACCCGAATCAAAGAAGGGATGACACGTTACTGCCAGACTTGAAAATTCGCTTTCAGTATTTTAAATTGACAGCCTTGAAAGGGAGACAAGTTTAATGAACTGTAGAAGACTCACATGGTGAAATGTTCTTTCAAGGGTCGTCTGCGGTTGAGCTGTTCTACGGAAATTTCACCAGATGACTTTATATGCTCAATTTAAATTTTAATTGCTTGATTCCCATAAATTTTCTATCGGAACATGAACCAGTACTAGTCTGAAGAATACCGATCGAAGAACTTCAGTTCAGATAGTGCTCTGCATCACCATAAAATCAATTCATGTCCAAACCGCAGCTTGAACTCGTTTGAACTCGCATTCGACTGTGGAGAGAATCTGCTCGCAAAAATAAATTGGTTTTCACCGGTTAATAAACTTAAACTCATCAGCTAGCCCTTGTTTTTATTCCACGTGGCGTGAAGAAATTATGCTCCGAAAACTCGTTGAGGCGTAAAACAGCGGGTTTTATTTTGCTCCACTTGTTCATGGGGATATTTTAGCACTCATTTTACGGGTCTTCTGTGCAAAATCCGATGCAGACGCCAAAAACGTCCAGGTTCAATTACGATACTGGAGAAGGGGTATGGGAATTGATAATGCGGGTATATCAGAAAGTTTTGGAGATTTATTCTTATACACCCAAGTATATCAGCTTGTGCCGATTGCTGTATGAATATTCCTTCAAATGCTGTTTTAAAACGTTCCTTGTGTACGTCATCCGCGGAAACAGATGGAGAAAATGAAATAGGAAGTCGAGTTCTTGTCCAAATTTCGTTTCAGCCAACCGTTTATCTGATCCGGATGTAAATCATTTCGAATCCATCCCAGATTCAAAATCAGTCATCTCAGTATCGATTCTTTGAGGAATGAAAAATGAGGTTGCATCTTGAAATAAGTGACGCTTTGCACACGGGTAAGAAATAGCAAAAAATTCAGTCACTTGAATGCATTTAAAGCATTTCAAGATACTCTAACTTTTGATTAACTTCACAGTTGTTACTCTGGATGTAGTGCATCAGTGACACTCCTTTTTTTTTTTTTCTTGCAAGAGACCTCCGCTCGGGAAAGAATAAAATCAGCCGTCAGCTGGTTAATCACGATGGAAATAGCGGGGAAGATTCCATGGGAGGCAGAACGCATTTTCTCACTTTAGATTAAATTAATAAATCATTGGCCCCGGCCCCGGGAACCCGGATTCCCACAATTTTTCGAGCAACGTGTTTCGCGAGCCCAGACCCTCAGGCGACCGCAGCCCCCGCGTCGCACGAACCGTGATTTGCTTAGAAATGACCCACACAAGTACCGCGGAACCTGGCACCCCCTTCGGTTCGTCTTTTCATTAAAAACGCATTTTTTCGTGAGGAAAAACGCTATTTGCGTCAGCAGTACTGGATGCATTCCGGATTTTCGGAAATGCTACCATTTCAAGAGGCACCTTCCTTTCACACGCGGATTTATCGGGTACTTTCGAGCTCAGGTATGGGACGAAATCTTATGCAAGACGTCGGGTTGTCTTTGGTATCATCAGGGAGATTTTTGGGCGACTGGAAATCGTAAATCCATGAGCAACACCGGGAATCCATTAGAATTTAAAATGTTCCCCGAGTGTGTAAGAAGGGCTTACTTCCGCAACAAATTCCACTACAGTACTTGATTCCTGCGAAAACTGAGAGATTAACTTTCGGAATCCTCTTTTAAAAATTCCTCTCCCTCTAAATTTGGATGATTTAAAAAAAATGAATACTTCGTGGCGGTTGTTCCTTGAAATTCTCGATCTTCGAATAGGCAAGTATCTTTGCTGTATCTGTGATTATTTTAAACACTCTCTACAAATCGAAACTTCCAATACATTCGAAAATGTAGAGGACATGTTCTATAATCAGATATTTTTTCCCTTGGCTCCGAATTTGTTCGCCTGAAAATTACTTTGGCTATTAGTTTCACATCGCAGGATGTTCGAATGCACATTAATCACGCAGTTCCTTTTTTCTCTGCGAGGTTCACTTTGTCGGATGCCGAAGGAAAACTTCGATTTTCCTCGAGGAAATTTGAATTTACAGGAACCGTAAATCCATGGTTCCAACGGCAGTGTTCAAGAAGAAATGCAAAACAATATACGGCAAATAAAAATGTATTCTCTCTTTGCTGAATTCTGCAGATTGGAAATGAATTAATATTGTGATGATCGTATGCTCTTTTGAAAGAAGAAAATCTTCAAACGGCGGTCGGAACTTTTGGTTCTAAATGTCTCGCTAGCTTTCATGCGATCTCAAGTGCATACTTGGAGAAAATTGAGATTAAAACCACGCGAATTCACACGGGAAAATTGGCAAACCTTTGCCGAATCCGAGAAGTTATTCCTTGAAATATTGGGAAAGCTTGTGCTTCCGATTAAGGAATTCTTTGTCAGATATCTGATCTAATTATGAATGAAAAACTTCGGATTCTGGCTGAAAGGTCTTTCGTCAATCATGAAAGAAGATCGTTCCTTTCGTGAATGGATTCATACCATTTTGTATAACGAATTTTTGGCCCTGATTCTTTACATGGGTCATAGGGATAATTTGATTCTTGATAGAAAAAAATCCATTTGGTTCAGCACCAAGAATCCATTGAAACGCAAATCTCTCTGTAGAGAAATTTTAGTGTTCAAGAAAATTCTCATCGTGCCAAATTCCTTGAAAATTCTCCATTTGAGCATGCCTACCTTTCTTTCGAATAAACAGCATGATTTTAGAAATAACGTCCCTCTATACAAACTGGTGTGAATGAATAAATTAATTTGTACGGAAGTATTTCTCATGCGCTTCCTTTGTTAATTGCAGTTTTGAAAGACAGAGAGAAAATGAAAGATAATGTAAATATGAGAGAAGAATATTTGAAGAAATTCCTCGTAATTTCATCGCGGAGAGATACTTGGAAATTATGACATATTGAATTTTCTGCTGTAGAGCCACTTCACAGTATTTCTCACAAATTTCCTACAAAACGTCTGCCTGAAATGGAATTGAAAACCATGAGTCTCAGTGTAACGAATTTTTTGTATCAGGTCTCTGTGAGTTCGTTGCTACGAGATTTTACTGCAGTATATAGATAAATGTGCAAACTTTTGAAAGCCTCGTTTGATTTGCAGCGATCCTCAACGGGAACGTGGGCGTCTTCAACAACCTGAGCCTTTGCCATTTGCGCACCATCAATTGGACGGAGATCCTGGACGGGAAGGACGCCCGTCCCCTGTACCAGTACAACGCGACGATGTCGGAGCGTCGATGCGAGTGCGACGAGTCCTGCGACGGCCGGTGCTGGGGACCCGGGCCGGATAATTGCCAAAAATTCTCCAAGATTAATTGCTCTCCGCAGTGCGAGCAGGGCCGCTGTTTCGGACCCGAACCCAGACAATGCTGCAACTTGTTCTGCGCCGGCGGCTGCACGGGCCCAAAGCAAAGCGAATGTCTGGTGAGTTCATTTCCTTTTTTCCGGCTCTTTGTTCCGGAGCCGCCGCTTGTGGTGCGTGGAAATCGAGGCGTCTGCGCTTCATTGCGCATTCGTCTTCCCCTCGGGCCAGGAAAAGTTGAGCGTGTCGCAAAACAGCGCGAGCCAGAACGGCGCGTGTCCAACGAAGAAAGAAAGAAGAGCCAGTAAAAATCCGCGAGTATAAAGTAGCTAATCCTTCACTCATTTGAAAAACCTCAACAATTTAGGTGCCCACTTTAAACAAGGGGTGCCCTTTAAATTTTTTGAATAACGTACATTCAAGAAAGTGGTCTTAAAATGCTGCGATAATTTATGCTCGAGTATATTGCCAGATTTTGGAGAAAAAGAGCGCGTTTTTCTCAAGTGACTACGGTATTGACAACAGCGCAACCCGGTCGTTACATTTAAAGATGCCGAAATATTGGTCGAATGAGTGAAAATGAGGTGACATTCATACCTGATAAATATGTTTTGGGTCGCTTGAATCATCGTTAATGGACGAATCATCCGTTACAAATAAAGCTTCAAGGACAGTGGAAATGACCATGATGCATTTTTAAAATTTGAATTGGTCAAATAAATTTTGGCACATTGATTATCTGGGATAATCGATCCCATGCAGCAGTTTTTCTTCGAATTTTCGTCGAGTTCAAATTAACGCTTTCAAAAATTGCGCATATCCGCACAAAATTTGCGGACTGAAGGAAAAATTAGTTTCTGAATGAGGGAATTGTTGCAACTGAGAAACTTGAACTTTTCAAAAAACTGCTTCCCACTCTCTGAATCTTACTTTTATTATAAACCATGATCCAGATTTCCCTTTTAAGCATTATTTCTCTACCAATATTCCAAATTTATTCAGAATCACAGTGTTTGAGCTAGTTATTTCAGCTAGCTACTGGAGATTCACATCAGCCAAGCATACGAATTTCGAGATGATGACCAGAGAGGTTGGTCAATAATTTTGAATCAATTACGCTTTTTCTGCAAGCAGAGGAAAGCTAATGGTGTCAAATGAATCTTCCTTAAACGACTGTATTGCAGTATTAAAATATCGTGGTGTCATCAAGCGAGCGAAGCTTGCCGCACAAGAAAAATCAATTCGCTGACCATAATTTTGGTCACCTTGATTGATTATGCTGATGGTCAAGAGATCAACTATTACTGTATCTCAAATGCGTATCGGCATCATGAAGGTTGCAGTTGAGCAACTGTCGTCAAACAATTCGTCTTGAAGCTTTTGATGGGCGGCGAACAGTTTTCGTAATAGTTTCCTGAGGTCTTGATTGAAGTACCGGGTCATTATACTGAACCGGTTAACCTCGGTCAAAGTTGTGGAACAACCAGAGGATTCTTCAAAAACCTCGTACGACAAATTATGGTGAAAAACTTCCTTTTTTCCAGCAGACTCCGTATACAAATATTCCATTGATCGCTGAATCACGCACAGAAATTCGTTTCGCTCGCATTTCCAGGATTTAATTTGCAGATTTTTGTTTCTGTGAATGAATGATTTCTTGATCTCAAATATGATGAAAAGTCGATAAATTATTTTGAACGTGAAATATTTTTTTCAGGAAAGTTGGGATGGCGTTTTTTCAATGATTAGTGAAAGTGAAGCGGTATAGTTTCTACAGGAATTTGTGAGCTAAAGCACGATTACTTTCTCGAACTTCTTGATAAAGAAAGGTTAAAATTTTTTCGAATATTCCGCTCGGAAGAAAATCGTTGAGTAGAACAGGGATGACGTCGTGTTTTTGACATAACAATCGAAGAATTGCTGCCAAATACTTTAGAAAATCATTCACTTTCCAGTCTCCAACATACGGTTTCACTGAGTAAATAATTATATTTCCTAAGCAGAAAAAGATTAAAATCGTTCCTCGGATCAGCTTCAGCCGCTGTCTGCGTCGGATTACTTCGAATTCAAAATTCTAAAATCACGATTGCTTTCTCGAACTGTAATTTCTCGATGAAGAAAGGTTGAATTACTATCAGAAAATCGCTCAGTAGAACAGTTTATGAAAATGTGTTCATGACATGACAGTCAAAGCATTCTTTTTCCGAATGCCTTCGTTCATTTTCCAATCTCCAACGTACGGGATGCAGTAATTATTTCCTGAGCAGAAAAAGATTAAAATCGCTCCTCGGATCAGCTTCATCCGCCGTCTCGGTTGGACTGCTTCGAATGCTGGTGAGGTAGACAAAAAAAAAGGTTCTTCTCATTGTTTTGAAGGCTAAGAGGAAGATGGGAGAAACTCTGTTGAATTATTATCCGACTGTATGCATGCTGCGTGACGGTCATTATAACGCCGACCGAGCTTCCGATCCGCTCGAACTGGCCCATGTGGAATTCATTCCCTCGCCCGAATAATTTCCGCTACCAAGACGCGGACCTCCCTGCCGTGTCACACCCGGAATCATTGATCTCCGAGACCCCGAGGATTGATTGTTGGGCCGTGATTTATCGGTGTCCTGCGGGCGCGGGTCGACGTTTAAATTTCCTGTTCCCGTGCACCCGATGAATCAATCCCAGTCACTTCTTACGCCGTGCCCAAGAAGGCGTGTAAAAAAAAAAAGAACTTCTGGTGCGAGATTCGCCCGTCTTCCGAGTCGACGACATCCGGAGTCTTTTGTCGCTCGGGGCGCATAATCGCCTTCTCCCTTGTTCCGCTGCTTGCAGGGACAAGCATTGTTCTGTAAGTCCTCGAATTTGTCTGGCGCGGCTTGTATTACCCGACTATTTTCTTCCTCTCGGTCGTTTTTACACGCATAATTCTACCGAGTCTCACCGCGATACGTACGTGCCGAGATTTCTGGAGGATCATTGCAGATTATAAACTTCGCCAAGCGGGATTGTCAGTATAGAACTTTGTCCCCCTTGCCTTTGTAAGGTGCTTGATGAGCTGAAAATAATCACGCTTACGAAAGCACGTTTTACCCTCCATCAACTAGCTTAGCGTTTCCCAGAGAGATATTAAAAGCCATTTAATTTTAGGCTCTCCTGATTTCTTGTGTCAAAAGCGCATTAGAAATGCTACATATTATAAGTACATGTGTTTAATGAGCTAGAAAATGATGTCGATGGATTTTCAGCAGGGACAATTTAGATTATTTTTCTTGCGTGTTTGATGAACTAAAAATACTCACGTTTACGAAAGCTAATCACAATTTCCTGCAATTCTTCTTTCTTTTCCCCAAACACAAATACTTGTCTCTCTAATTCGAAACCTCCTTGACTCGATTTTTCGAAGTCCATTGTGTCTGAAATAGAATAATTCTCCTTTGAAAATCGACAAAGGCTTTGGTTCAACGTGGAAACCCGCCTTTCTCGCCAATTCAGAGCGATACAAATTCAACTGGTCTTCGATCGATGGGATTGTGCATATTGGCTTAATTATGTTACGTGTTTCTCGAAGACGAAAGAGATGTACAACTCGGATTCTCCTCTATAAGGAGTAAATTAAAAAAAAACAAACAGAAAAACTAATCCTCTCATGACACAAAAAAGTGATCCATCATTTTCGTTCGTCCAACAATTCGCTTCTCATTCTCTGTCGTTTGAGCTTCAAATTCAGAGAAGACGCTTCACTGTTCAACATTTCCAAGATAATTCACAACGGCTCAAGTAACATAATTTTCCATGCAGCTCGTACGTACGTATACCGACTCTAACCGTTTCTTGCCCAAGGAACGGGTGGGGCGTATGATGAAAGGCTAGTTGGAATGCGTTTTGCGGGGATGAGAGAAATAAATATTCGTGGTTCTCTTCCAAGGTATCTCATGGAATGAGCCGCGTAATCATTTGGGTCCCTCCCATTGGGTTCTCGAGAAAGTTTTCCTTGGCTCTGGCAATCACGTTCCAAAAATCACATACAACGACTCACTTCACGGGCGAAACCTCGTGAATTAGTCCCAACTTCTATACAAAGTTGCGCCGAATTCAATTTTCCGAGTACTGTACAGTATTGGTTTATTTGTATCTTCAATTGATGTAAAATTGTGGAGTTTTTCTTTTCGACTTGTCTCGAATGGGGGAACCTCGTACCTGACCTGTTGAAATTGTATTCAATAGTAATCCTGGCATTTGCTCAATTTTTTGTTTGATGACGAGCATTTTGCCACTTTTCAGCGTTCGCAAGATTCACAAAATGTTCCCACATCCTCCTCCCCCACACACGCTTTATACCCATTCCGGCCCATCAAAAATAATACACTGCATGGGTATTTGCAGAAAATAAAGCGCAGTAAATAATATTGCAAAAAACTCAGCATTTTTTAGAACATTCAGCGCACAGGGAAATTATTGATCAAAAATTAAAACACAAGGTTTTCACCCAGTTCCAGGATATTACTTCAGCTGATTAAGCAATTAGAGAGAAATCTTATGAAGTTGGCACTTTATCCTGGTCCTCTAAGATATATTTGGGAGAGTACCTTTTTATTGAATTCTGAGAACCCTAAGTCCTCTGATGTTCAATTCTCATGGGCGTAAGATGTGTTCTCGTACAAAATGATTTGCGCAACGGTTTTGCTGTTGCTCAAAATTGGCTTCATTCTTTCCAATTATAAGGTGCTGGGACTGCGTTTCATCGAATATCACATAGTTTGACGTCAGTTTCGCCGAAAGAGCAATGCTTGAGTTTCCAGGGGAATTGCAATAAATGTGTTGAAATATTTTGAATACATTTTCTCTGGTTTGGATCGATCGCTGCTTGAAGTGGCCTCAATCAAGCACTGTGATGTGATAACAGTTCTACGGGAGCCTGAATTCAATCCACTCTATGATTGATTTGCGAGGCGTTTTTGAGTGCCCCTCATCTTTTGTGCAAGATTCTTCGCTCTGCAGGGAGGATGTAATCAAATTCAGAAGACTATGCGAAACTGGCGGCTTCTTTTACATCTTTTCTCGACAGCATCGTTTCTGTAAATTATCATAACCTTAGAAAAAATCCGCCCGTTAAATTCGAAGTCCCATCTGCTCCTCGCGTGGAAGGATGGACGATGCAATTTTTCTGCATGAGATGAGCTACCGCAATTGCGGGAATATACAGTAAACCACATTTTGGTCCGGAAAATCATCGCGTTGAAAATTATAATGAAATTACTCCCTTTCAAAATAGTTCGTGGTGATGCAAAAATGAGAATCCGTTCCGTGATTTTAGCTGACAGAACCTCTATCCGCTCTTGGGGATGACTTTGCACCATATGGTAAGGACTTAATGCAGAAAGCAGACGAATTTAAGAGCAAGAATATGCAAGAAAACCATCTGGCACAACTTTCCTTCAAGTGAAGCGGTAATTACTGCATTTCTCTCAAGGTTGATTCTCCTAGAAAGGGATACACATTTTTTTTTCGTTTCATTCGGGATTTTTTGTGTTTGCGATCGCTAGTTAGAAAATGGTGCATCGTGTTGATAAACCATACTTGTACGTCTTCTAAGCAATTGCAAAGAAAATTGATGCGCGTCTTGAATTCAATGCCTTTTTACAGTCCGAGATGCCGGAAATTATGACATTATTTCAGATTTTTTAAAAAATATGATACTGTTGTACTTGTGCCCTTTGGGTTCAACATCCGTGACATTTCGTCCATTGGGAAACTGAGATTTCTCTCGTCGGCGAGCAAGAAGAATGCAGCTTCATTCTTTTTGCATTGTGAAAAAAAAGACATTTGTTGAACAGAAACGATTAATTTTTCCTCAGGCCTGCCGTAATTTCTATGACGACGGAGAATGCAAGGAAGAATGTCCGCCGATGCAGCGTTATAACCCGACGACGTATTCCTGGGAACCCAATCCGGAAGGGAAGTACGCTTATGGTGCCACTTGTGTCAAAAAATGCCCAAAGCACCTCTTCAAGGACAACGGTGCCTGTGTTCGATCATGTCCCGCAAACAAAATGGTGAGTTTCAAGAAATTTTGAGCCTCATTTTAATCCAACAAAGCTGGATTTGCGAACGATCTTCTCGTTCTTCCGAAATCAACCCAACTTCGGATTTTTTATATTCGAAACATTTAAAAATTACAGTAGGGCCCCGAGATGCGATGTAATGGGTGTCCCTAAGTCAGAACCTCCGGGTGTCGGATCACGTTTTCCCGTGGACTTCAATGGGGACATATTTAATTGGTTCGCCGGTTCATCAAAAATAAAAAATAAAGGCCCAACAATTGAATAACTGTTTGCTCAGCTTCAAGATGCAGAAAATAACTTGGCGAAGAAAGCCGCACAGAAGCTGATCTTTTGTCATCAGAAGGAACTCAAGAAGCAAAGAACAAGAACAAGAACAAGTATAGCTATGCTCTGCACACATGGACAAATTCTGAAAAATGAAGCATAAAATTAGCTCGAAACCGATTATGAAGTGGAGTAGTTTTATAATGAAATTTATTTTCGATGCTTTTTATATGAGCAGCTCAATTTTTTCGAGGGATATCAAAATTTAGAAAAATGAAATGCTTCCACTTCTCGAGAAATCTTGGGAAAATGTTCATATTTTGAGACATTGTCCGGGTGTCGGGGATAAATTTTCTAGTTTCAGGTGTCCCTAAGTCGAATCGTACGTATTTCGGGTCACACTGTACTGCGTGATAATTGATTCCAAGGGAAGTACAATTCCTCCGAGGTTTTTTTTTTTTTTTCGTGAGGTTCAGAGTTATCTTCCACAAAGAACATATTTTTCCTCATTCCAAATACAGTGCTTTTTTTTAAAATACACTCTAAAAAAAAGCACGTTGTCGAGGAGACAGAAAACCTGTTCCCATATATAGTGAAAAAAGTATTTCTCTGACCTGTATTAGAAGCTCAGTTGAACTTCTACGGTTCTTCGCACATCCTCGCCAAAAGCTCCCCGCACATCAGACCTTCGCAAAGTCGCGCCTTGTCAATAATAAGACTCTCTGCAACGATTTGGCCGCCGTTCAAAATGACGGTCCCGCAATGCCCAATGACGTGTTCGCCAACGATTGCGAAACTCGTCAGCGCGAAGCTTCGAAAGGGTCGTCGGGACATCATTGCTTCAGCGACAACCAAGTGTTGAACCGAGCCTCCTCCTCAATCTGGTCCTACGATGAGGGCTGCTTTTTCTATAATCCTTTTTTTCTATAAACTGGTCCTTCGATGATGGCTGTTGGCGATTCTGCCGACCTCAGATACAATTAGCGGGTACTGCTTTGGCACCTACGGGCAAAGGAAACATCCCGCGCCCAACCTTGGATCGCGTTGATCTACTCATTCACGGAAATCACGGTACTTCGAGAATGGAAAAGATGTGTTCGTTCGATCTTCAAGTGATTTCACGATGGTTGGTGTATCGTATTCACTGGAGTATAACGCGCTCCTTTTTTCTATAAACTGGGGCAAAAAAATGAGGTGGGCGTCATACACGGGTATACAATTTCAAGCTACACATTTCTTACCTACTTTCAAAATGTTTTTTCACATTTCTCTATTTTAATGATATTACTTGCATGAAACAAAAAATCTTATTCGAATTCAATTTAGATTTTTATCCAACGAAGTTTCTCAACAAGGTATTTTGGCAACTGAAAACAAAGGTGCGAGTCTTATGCGGGATAAGATTTCCCCTAAATTTTAGCTAAACATTTTAGGTGCGTTTCTTATTTGAGAGCGCAAGGTGATCCAGTAAGTACGTTAAACTTTGCACAAATCCAGGAAACATTAAAAGTTAAGGCGTTTAAACCGCCTCCAACAAACTTTTTTTTTTAGAATAGTTTGAGGAATATGTGTTAGAGACTAAATAGTCTCCACAAAGAAAATATGAGAATGATGAATAAAACACAACATTCAGCCTGGGACTGGCTGGGAGCCTCTTTAAAGAGGCCCCAAAAGTATTGAGTGTTTAATAATGTCCTGAAGAATAATGCAACTCAAATAATTTTGGACCAAGATGAGCTCTTCACACTTCAAGAATTGGCAGTGGAATGGAATTCATTGTTACATGTTTTTGGAGACAGAAGAAAGAAGGAAAAGTGGTTTTCCTTGTAGGCAAAATATTGGCTGATTTTGTTGAAATCAAAGACCATGCTGTGCATCATCCTACAATTCCTTCAGGACTCGTTTTTTGGTGCTGGTGGCTTGGCTGATGCAAAGGACCAGTTTTCGGGATGCAGCTGGGAGTTATTATAATTAATATTTACAGGTGCCCGACTTGTTCCCCAAGAATATGCCTGAAACCACAGGGAAGGCAACATTCTCTCTTTGTTGCGATTTCATCAATTGAAAAAAAATACTTATCGTTCCCGCACAGAAAAATAAAGAAAAATAAACGCATTTTCAAAACTTCATAGCTGGAACACTTCTTAGTTTGGGTCCGAAAAATGTCGATTTCTAATGCATCTAATTTTTTCTCGAAGAATGTCAGACTTCATGATTTCACTTGTGTGGCTATGAATAGTTCGCGAATTTGGAAAGGAAAATGTAATACCCAAGAGAGAAAGTTACCCCTGCTTTCTTTCGATAGTCGATGAAATGCTTGCAACAGTTGTCCTAGTTACGTTCAAGTTACCTGCAAACAGCAACCAGGCAAAAAACTTTTCAGCGGAATTTTGCGCACTCTTTTGTTTTTCTTCCAATTCCAACCCGACCAAGCAACAAACGATTGCAGTTCTATCGTGATTCCGTTAACTGTGGTTTTTCGGACAGGAATCAGTTGTCCTAAGAGTTGAGTCCGAGAAAGTTGATACTGTACCACTGACCAGTTTGCCAAGTTGAGGCAATCGTCGCAGAGAAATGAAAGCCCGGGCGAATTGAAGCCGATAACAGACAGGAGGCAGTTGCAGAAAGAGAACCCATCATGTTTGCATGGGCTGCACTTACACCCGGCCGATCGGAAAGCGGATTGAACCCACAATCGACGCCCCACAGCGCCCAAGAGCTCGTTCCCCTGGGCTCCATCCTTCTTCATCACAGGCCATGCGCGAAGCCGACACACGAATTCGGAATATTTCTTATTTCATTTTATTTTCGGATCATCGCGGGCGTCTGTTATTCAAACCCGCCTACGCTGGCTCATTAATAATGCCGGAACTCAGCCGCGAATGTGAGCGAGTGGATTCCGAATATTTTTCCGTTTCTGGGACAACAGGCTCATCTGGGGAATCACTCGAGGCGGAGGTTTTCAATCGGGGCTCCGCGTCCTGCGTTCCCAAGGGCTCCGCGGGCGCTCCGAATTCTCCCCCCGAAGTGGGGCCCCGACATACACCTGGAGACTCTTGAAACCCAAAAAAGTTTCAAGATACTGACACTTCAAAAATTTCCAGAAGCATGGAACATTTTTATTTCTTCAATTTTTTATGTTTATCAAATAAATTCAGCTAAATATATTCAGGGAAATTCATAATAAATTGTATTCTACTTTGATTTTACTTCATAATCGAAAATGGGCTAATTTTGTGCTTTTTTGGGGGTTTTTCTCCATCATTTGTCTCCAGTAAAGCAAGACATGTGCTTGTTTTTGGCTTTGTGAGTTCTTTTAATACCACAAGGGCAGATTGCGTGTGGTCTTCTGCAGATTTATTTTCTGTAGCTTTAAGTCAAGAAAAAAATTTATCCAATTTTTGGGAAACTTCTTCCAAATTTTTCACAGACAGGGGGACAGAATGAATAGGTTCCCATTGAAGTACATGGGAAAACGTGATCCCACATGTGGATGTTCCAACACAGGTACAAGGTTCAAGAACCAATTACTTCCGAATCTCTTGGCCACGCTTTACACATTCAGAAAAAAAAACCTAATCGAGTGAGATTTTCGCATGGAAAGAGGTGTGATAAGCTTTATAGAAGCAGGCACATACAATCTCCAAGGTCTTTTATGCCCAAAATTGAAAGACAACGGCCCGAGAAATAATATCCTTAGTGCTTCACCGTAGAAAAAAAAAATTGAGACTCCTGAAATCGAAAAAGGTTGAGAACCTACGACTCTCAGGAAATACCGTTTACTCGAGGCCGTCATATGGATAGAAACCATCAGGTATCAGTTCGCTCCCTAGATTTCAGTGAAAATCGAATTTTAACGCTGGAAAAAATTAGCTTTGCTCAATCTTTTTCCTGCAGTCGTAAAAAAGATTGTTCCTTCCCTCCTCTGATCGAGATATGGGTGGAAATTGCGGGGGAAAAACCGACGTCTCTAACGGGTAATCGCTGAAATAAGTGGTCTGAGGTCGTGTTACTTGAAGTCACTTCGTTTTGGAACCCTTTTATGGCCGATCGCTTTTAATACACTCTTTCGACGAATCATATTCATTTTCAGTGCCTTTTAGCTGACGGAGTGAGGATTAAAAGAGGTTATTTTACAGTAAAAAGGGCGCCAATTTAACGGTACGTTTGGATCATAAACTTTTCACCTGTACCACTGACCAGTAGTCAGATCGAACGATAATTGCCTTTATAAGGACGAATCAACTTCAAAATAGGATGAGAATAAGTCTTGCTTTGAAACCCACAAATTTTTTCATGGGACTCTTCAACGGCTCCATATATCAGTACTGATGAATCCAGAAATGGCTTGTCTAAAAGAGCTAAAGACTCGCAAAAGCACGAAATTTTAATAGAATACAATTAAATTTAATTCAATAGAAAACACGGGTTTCAATATACAGTTCATATATAAAGCATGAAAATCAAGTCGGCAAACTACGTTTCAGTCTTGCATTTCTTTCATATATGCCAGCCAGACGTTTAGAAGCAATTCATGTCGAATTTTACCAACGTACAGTAACACAGTGACACTCCAATCATTTCTTGATGACGGTAAAACTCGTACACTTTCCAGGGGTGCCTAAAAAAATTAAAAAAAAATTGTCTACCAATAAACAAAATTCTGAAAGCTTCGTTTCAACCACTCCCACTTTATTCCCATGGATCTAACACTCCGAGTAGATTCGCTTATAGTACTTATCTGCAATAACATGAGTTTTTCACATGCAATGTTTTTCGTTCGGTTTCCATTTTCACACGCCTCGATTTTGAAAAACGTTAACCAGTTCTGCCAAAAACTACATCCAACCCCATTAAGACGCACCCCGATAAAGTGCCGCCTTCGGCAACCGGCCAAATTTAGTATTGAACAAATCTCCGCGCAATATTAATTACCCTAGATTGCACTAGGAAACATCGTTTAAACGCCGACTGCCATCCATCAGCATTAATGATAAGTGCTGTTTGGTATTCGTTTTTTTTCTTTTTCACAACCCCAACATTGGGGTAGAATTAAAATTTCTGTCGAGGATCTTGCATCTTTAAGAAAACAAGATGAAAATGTTTATTCCTTTGAATATTTTGATCAGATTTACCTTCTTTTAAAATTCAATTAAACTCGATAGAGTAAAATTCATTTTCTGAAAACGGCTTATCGCAGATATACTCTTTTGAAAAATTCGGAAGTTTCTAGAAAATATCAGAAAATAAATTTCTGCTATTTTCGGAGAAAAAATCGAGTAATTATAGTAGAATGATTTTAAATGAACGAATTACAATATCCTAAAAACCGCCAACCCCTTTAAACCGCCGAAATCTCCGTAGACACATCGTGGCGTATTTTCGGGGTTTGACTGCAGTTGCCGTCCTGAAGATTTCAAAATACACGCCGAAACCATGATTCGGATTCGAAGGAATTTTTCCCACTTCCGACGCGGGTCAACTCGCCGGAGTTCCGGGGCTTGACCTTAATTTTCCGCGTCTTGCGGAGATCATTTCCATTGTAATTGGCATCGCTCTTCGCGGTGTTTCTCGTGCCTCCGAACATCGCCCTGGAGAAGATAATAGCCCGGCGGATAAATATGGCTCCGGCTCTGGCATCAAATGCTTTTGATGGCGCGTTTTACGGCCTTCGTCGGGAGCACATTCCTCCGCCTGCTCGGAAAGTATCGATCGTTTATCTGACACGTTTTTAAAAATAAAAAAACGAAGTTTTTTTCTCGTGGAAGACCGACGATTTAAGTGCTGAAAATTATGCAGCGCTTCAGGAGAGATTTCATCCAAGGTGCTAATAAAATCGCACGCGTACTTTGTTCTGCCGAG